TGTAGCCAACACAGTGATATCGACAACTTCGGCCTTGGACCCTCCGAATCATTACAGCAAAAAAAAAATCACCCTTTCTTTTGTTTCTTTGGGCAGCCCGCCGAATAAGGGGATCATCGATAGACGAATTAGCGAGTCATCAGAAATGACGCTGGCAAACTGTAGTTATCTAGCCCATCCTGCAATTTCTTTTCTTTTTTTTTTTATTTTTCATAGCGGTGTTAAACGCTAACCGCTGTGAATTTCAGAAAGCTTGACTTCGGTGCAGTAAGTCCGCTGAAGAGAAATCTTTTTCGCCCACCCAAATCCGGTATTGCTTCTTTGTCGGCCGCTCGAAGACATCTGTTCTTCACCGATGTTTCCAATCACGAAAGTCCCGATAATGGAAATGGACCTAAAATAATGAAAGCTGGATCGGTCAAACTTCCAAGTTATGTTTTAACAACAGAGGAATCCAGAGGAGAGCCCAGCACAGATGAACTGGTCGTGTGTGGGGAGAAAGTGTTACCGGACAAATGTAAACTTCGTGAAGAATCGGAAGTAAACAGGGCCAGTGGATCGAACGAAAATTCCTCGACATCTACCTCTCTTTCAGAATCATTCGAAGATCTTACCGAAGAGGTTACAGCCGAAGAGGTTCGTTCCCAGTTTTCTTTTATACTCTTTTTTTTTTGGGTGGAGAGGGGGAGAGGGGAGGGGAGAATTTGCAGTACTTTATTTTTGTTTGTCTTTTAATTGTCAAATAATTCAAGTATAAAAAATTCTGTGAACCATTTGTGGTGTATGGGTTTTCAAGTCTATTTTTAATAGTATATAGCTTACTGAGTTGGTATTTTTGATTTCTGTTGCTTCATCTCCTCACCATCGATTTGTTGTGCGGCTTATTTCGTTGCAGCTAATATGTATTTTTTTGCCCACAGCATTTCCTGTTCGCTTTCCCTTCCTCTTGTTTCTTAGTTTCCCCTCATGCTCGCCAAAATATCGTAGGCCTCGATTCGCTTTTCTTTTCTCTTGCACCGCCTGTTTTTATTTCGACAAAATAAATATTGTACTATTGAATCCCAAACTGAAATACCACTGTTTCTGTTCAAACGTTTGATGATTTCATCACAAATATAGAAGAAAAAAAATATGCAAAGGGTTTATCCCCGTAACAGTCTCTTTTTCCCCTCTACAGTCCCCTCTCCCCGCCTCCCCTCTACGGTCTCATATCTGCAGTGGTATGATGTAAGTTAAATCGTTTTAATGCTTTAACAGTTTTATAGATGGTCGTTTGTTCCCGTAACATTCCCCATTTTCTTAACGCACCGTTTCAAAAATCAGAAATTTGAATCTGTCCGTTTCTCTTCCCCTCTTCTATGATATTCTTGTTCCGGACTAAAATTTGTGTCCATCATCAAGGTCAGCTTATTGGAGCCACATCATCACAGGACTGTATCCTCACACCCTTGCTTTGTCAGTCACTGCGGTACGATACATTTACAGTATATGCATATCTGCATCAATACTCTGAGAATTATGTAATACATGTGGTTACCATATACTCAAGTTGCCTTTTCTTGTTTTTTATACTACTAACCGATTTGCCAATCAATCTTTTCTTCCTTCTTGTTCCTTTTCCTTTCTTCCGTTCTGTTCCTCTATTTCTAGCACTTCAGTACGTCATTATTTATTATGGCTTGCCTGTTTAAATCTGTTTCTTTTCTGCATGGCAAGCCAGAAGCTGTGCTGACAATTCCGATTCCTACCCGCAGCCGATGCTCTGTCTGTGTTTGCAGCTAAGGGATGAAACTCAGACTGCAAACTTACTTGATCTTTTCTCAAAGCAAAAAAATTTTTAAAAGAAATTTCAGTTTGCCTCCGGCAATTTGCCAAATTTTTTTAAAAAGCTGTTGCATGACGAAGGCTGCCTTTTTTTCAGACTGGCGCTAGACGGAAAACATGCATCAAGAAACTTCCGGGTGAACATGAGCAAAAAGCACTTTTTAGCGAACCAAAAGAACCAGAAGCATTGCGCCACAATTTTCCAGTGCCTTCCTTTGTGGAATCATCGGAAGGTATTTAAATTTTTGAGATGTTCTGGTTAAAAAATCCTTTGTGCTAGCTCTGTGTCGGTGTCACTCCTCCATGTTTGTGTAAATAATTCTGTTTTGCTTTCGATGGCGTTAATGAATAAGATATCGAGGCCGATATTCTAATTTCAAAGATATTCGCCTTTGTGCACTCAGACCCAACATCTTTTTCCCTAAACTGTTGGGGCAGTGATGCATCATTTCATGGTCTCCTTCTGCTGGTGTTTCTGATATTCACTGTACGTTCCAGCTGTTTTTATACGTTTTTGGCATCTATGCAATGCATAAAACGCATATTGACGAGAGATTTCCTGTATATGCGTGTCTGTGTGTTCGTCTGTGCCGATTTTTCATTTCGAGACCCATAAAAGCTATAGGGCTGAAACTTTGGGAACTTAATCTGCATGCATTTACGGGCCCCTATCTCTACGTGGTAACCACGTACGGGCCCGCCAAAGTTTTTTCGGATAAGTTGCTAACTCGGGAAACTGGAAAGCTAGAAGATTGGAATTTTAAGGCGACGTTCCACGTCCACGTAAGTCCAAATGTGTTCACCCCCACTTCCCAGGTATGCGTGGTTCCCATGTACGAGCCCATGAAAGTTTTGCAGATATGTTGCTAACTCGAAAACCTGGAAAGCTAGAAAGCTGAAATTTTGAAGGGATGTCTTCAAACAGCGCTGGTAGCTAGTCTCAGTTATTTTAGGTAGAAGCATTTGCAAGAAAAACCGGTGCCGTTAGCGACAAAAACCTGCGAGGAACTATGCAAAAAACGCATCTTCGCACCGGTAGTCGGTGTTCTGGCCATTTATTTCTTCCTTGCTGTGGAAGCCACAGAGTTACGACCTACTTTCCATTGGCAAACGTAACGTGAACAACGTTTAGTACTTTCTTTTACCGGATTTTCAAAATACAGCCCATCACTACAAAGATTGCTTGCTGTTTAACTTTCGATATAATAAGTGAGCATCTGTGTTTAGGTATGACATTAGGAAAGTCAGTCCCTACGGTTCGTTCATTCGTTTCGATGGTAAATTGGTACTGGTGTGAGCCTGAAATTTGTCGCGCAATTGAGTTGCGCTCAAAATCAGCCTTTTGAAGGGGAAATAGTCGATGGTCGTGTCCTTATGAGAGTGCTTACTTTCAGCCGAAGATTTTTCACGCACGCCATTTTCGATTATTTTCGCGG